AAAAAGACATGGTCATACATAACATAATGAGGAGAAACAACACTGACACTAAAGTGCAGTGTGCATTGTGTCAGAGTTCTACTTTCTATTCATTTTGCTCCAAACAGCCATTGCATCACTAAAAAATGCTAAATATGAGCCTTTGAGCTATGAGGAGTAAGTAACAAGACATAGAAATATCATGAATAAATCTGATCTTGGGGAAGTGATTTTAATAAAGAGATTGTAGAAAATGGTTAGAGAGAGATGTTTAAATGCCTGACTAGGGGTGTCAATGACCTAAAAATCTTTAAAAACACATAAAATATGTAACCGATAGGACAGAAGATGAAGGACATGCATGCTGATTAGCTGTAGTACGTGGTTGTGTCACCAGGTGGAGCCTCTTACTGGAACATTTGCTTGCAGGGAGACGAGCACAAAAAAAATCCACAAAAAAATAACTTGCAGGGCTGCTGTCCTGCACGTTCCAGATCCTTGATAAAACTCAAAACCTTTAGTGTGGTAGGCTGCTGCTCATAGATGGTGGTTGTTTTCGTTACACATCATGATGGAAAATAGTAATGCACAGATAGTAGAAGGAAGGACAAAGCCAGTTGAAATGTTTGGTAGCTTGTGCCTGCATCCTCCAACACTTAAGTCTAACTAATTATGCTGTAGTGACCCCTAGTGGCGGTCGCTCAGACTACAGTCATCCTCATATTTATTTATACCCTTTCAATAAAGAAAAGGTAAAATTCACAATAGTCACTCAAATAACTAGAAACTGAAAAAAGTAATAATAAATAAAAATTTGCTAAATTATGATTTAGTGAAATAAGACATGGCTTTTAAATTGTGGTTAAAAAGAATAATTAAAAAAAAACAAAAAACATAATAGTAAAAAAAAAAGAAAAGAAAAAGAAAACTGTCCCAGACAAACTAGAGCACTTTGCTGATGAGCCAAAATCTAAATAGCTGTCAACAGGTGCAGAAGTCTGATTGAGAGTTACAGAAAACACTTGATTGCAGTGATTGGCTCAGAGGGTTGTTCAACAAAATATTAGTTTATGGGTCCCAACATGCTTGTTTGCTTGGTTTTTTATTTTTTATTTTATTTTTTTAAATATTTCTGTTGAACCACAATTCAAAAGCAATGTCATGATTTACATTAAATTTTTATTTATTATTACTTTTATCAATTTCAACTCATTTCAGTGACAGCTGTTTTTTTCCTTCTTTATTGGGAGGGTATGAATACATTTGAGGACGACTGTATGCGCAGGTCAACGTTGGCATTGATGGAGTTTATTTAGCAACAGACGACCATGACAAAGACTTCTGTGACTGTTAATGACTTCCAGTCAGAGCTCATGCATTTAAAACATGTTTGAGTCTGTGAAGTCAGCATTCCTGTTGCCCTATGGCGAATGTAACTGATTAATGAAGCTATTGATTAAAGAAATTGTTTCCATATCTAGATCTGAAAAAAGCAAAAAATCCTTCCCTGGACTGGGAAAAGGGACATTGGTTTTCATGACTGGTTTTTGTTTTTGTCTTTCTAGGTACTTGGCAAACCTTCCTGAATTCAAATGCCGACTCAAAGTCACACCTGTATTTGACAAGTAAGTCCAAAAAACAACTGCTCTGACCCACTGATAAAGGAGGTTGATGTTTGTCAAATAAGAAAATGTTGTTTTTTTTGTAATGTTTTGATTTTGTTTGATTAAAAGAAAAAAAAAATTGTAATAGCTTTTGTTTTCTCATCATCTTTTCGTGTGTCCCCCCCCACAACCAGGGATGTTGAAGAAGCCAAGACAGTCACTGGGTGGGTGAACGGCAATCTGAAATGTGAACTGATCCATCGCTTTCATCAACATAAGTTAACTCGGACTTCTCGTTGTAGGTTCCGTCACTTTGATTTTGAAAGGGATGACAAGAAGGTGTTGGACGTGGAGCCGCCAGGTGCTTTGATGGCAGAATTTAAGAACATGGTATGAAAGGCCACAAACACAAGCAGCAATTAATGGACTGTAACAGTACAGGCGTGCATTGCTCGATCCAAATGAATACTGTACAGCATCTCATGACACAATGTTCTTGCTAAAATGTCATTTCTTTTTCAGTCACTCAAGGAAAGAAAATCTAAATCTAAAGCATCATGTGAGGTAAGAGAGGACATTTAGGTATTTTAAATTGTTATTTGTAGGTTAAAAAAAAACACTTGCTACTCCACCATATGTATTGGTTCCCACCTCTGGTCATTAAACAACACCAGTCCCTCATCTCATTTTTTAGTTTGTACATCCTCGTCTCTTCTCCTCCTCCCTAATCCCTCCTACCAGAGGTAGCGGAGGAGTTGAAGAAACGAGTGTGTAACAAAATCACATCCTCACATCTCCTCCTTACCTCCAGCACTCGAATCTCTGCAAGCTAAGACGTGAGGAGAGGATTCAAAGACAGGAATCAGTGCAAGGAAGTGAAATTCAGTGAAACAAGATGAGCCTGAGTAGCAGGGTGACCAGGAGCACTAGGAGTGTTAATGTATCGCTCACTCTGGATTCTGGGCTCCAGTCAGATTGTGCCAAGAGATATTTATTTACAAAGATTAAAGATGATCTTTTGTCCTGTGCCATCTGCAATTGCATAAATCAGTCAGTTAGTCTGATGAAATTTCTCTCCTTTAGCTCAGCATGCAATACCTGCGTTGTCCTTTATGTGTCCACCTTATTTATTATATTTTTGGATCAATTTGTACAGTTGTTTTTCTGTCCTGTGCTCATAATGCATTGTCCACTCTATTCAGGGAGCACGTGGGAATCAGTGTGCATCCAGTCCTGCTGGTCCTTCAGTAAGCATCCTTTTAAATGCCATTTCATTTCAGATCTTGTAAGAAATGCCTATAAAATCAATCTAACCGTTGCTTCTCCACATATGTAGTGCTTAACATATTTGTTAGACCACCACCCAGTGTCAGTTTTATGCCACAGTTGCACTAAATTGACAGCATTGTTAGTTACCAAAATATTTTTTTTATGTTCCTGTGATGGTTAATACACCAGTATGTAGAAGCTCTTTGACTGAAATGATATTTGTAATGCCGAAATATAATTACTATTGTTATCCATGAATTTTCAAATTTACCAAAAAAAAACCCCTAAAAAAATAATGAAGCACATTATTATTTCTTGATTAAGATGTCAGACTACAGTTATTTACTTGCATTCCTGAACAGAAAAAAAATGTTTTAGTGGTTGAATGTTATGCTTGATTCATTTCTGACTTCTCAGAGAAGCCCAGTGAGTCGGCTCAAATAGTTTGAAATTCCTCATTCCTGTTCAAAATGGTAAAACGTCACAAACTGAGTGCAAATTAACTAACAGACTGCTTTGTTCCCCCTCTTTAGTGCCCTGTCAGTCCTGCTGGAGCCTCTGCTCTCCCTGCCTCAACTGCTGCAAAGGTAGGCCACAAGTTTCCCTGAATGGTACCTCCACTCATTCTTACCTTTGTTGTGGTTCTTCTGTGAAGGAGAGGTGGTGTGTCTTAGTGTTGGCCTCTTTCTTTCTATGAGAAAACTAGCCAGCATGAATGAACTTCCAATCACTTATTTCTGAATTCCGTTCACAAAAAAACGTCATGAATTGTCAGGGAGGATTTTGTGGGGACAAGATGAAAAATTAAAGTTGTTTAGCTTCTGTTTGTGTGGAAAATTAGGGAGGATGGTTTTAAGAGTTATTCTTCTTCTGCCACTCCTCCTTACTGTCTTTTTATTACTGAACTTCACCTTTTGCGAACTTTACTAGCAGAGCACACCTCAGTAAGACATTAAAAAGACACATACTGATTATTTTGTAAGCTTAAATGTGAATAACTGCAAGCACTAATACAGCGCTTTTTAAAATAGATGATTTTTAAAATTTTCGGATCTACGAGTGTGCTGCAAGGTAGCTCGGTGGTTAGCATCTTCGCCTCACAGCAAGAAGGTTGCCGGTTTGCGTCTCAGTGGGGGCACCAGGATCTTTCTGTGTGGAGTTTGCATGTTCTCCCCGTGCAGCGTGGGTTCTCTCTGGGTTCTCTATATTCCTCCCACAGTCCAAAAACATGTTGAGGTTAATTGGTGATTCTAAATTGTCC